TAATGTTTAACATTATATTGTGTGTGTATATTTTTAGTTACCGTACACAAACTTTAGAGTAACATGAAAACCCTACTTACATCTCCTGTTTCTCTAGTAGCCTAAATTACAATAAACAATTTTTTGTTAACGCCAATATGTATTACAATATAACAAAAAATAACAAATTTTTAATGTCAATAAAATAACTTTTTTTTTATATAAAATGCAAATAAATTCTTGATGGAAGGATAGAAAAAACAACACGAAAATATAGATTTAGTGTTTCGTTTCTAAACACCGTATCGGCTTATGCCTCCATCAGGATAAATATCAAAACAAACAACATACTACTCAATACGTAACGATAAAATGACGAGAAAGGGTACAATTAAAATATGCATCTTTATTAAATGTTTTGATTATAATTTAGTTACGTATTCATCAAGAAATATGCCCCAGCCCCAGGGAGCAGGGTCAATTTTGACCCCGGCGTTATAATTTGAACAGCTACAAAATGTTTAACGCAAGATTTCTAACCTTTATCCAATGTCAATTCAGAGGAGGAAAGGATGTTTTAACTTTTTTACTACGTTATAATTAAAGCAAAACCTATGATACCCGGGGAGGGGCAAATTTTTAAGTTGTTCATTTCTGTAGAAGATTTTGATTTATTTGATATTTTGACTAGTGGCTGCGCCACTCGTGATAATATGGACATGGCGCTCACTCGATAAAATAAATTATACTCTTCCAAAGAAATAAACAAACATTTATCCTCAAGAATTCATAACCACAGCGAAGGTCTGATATAACTGTATAATGGGACATCTTGTTCAAAATAATCCATAAATAAACTGACCATTTAACTTTCTATTGTAATATCAAGTTTGTAGTACATATTGATAATCGTTTCAAACCAACCTAAAAAATTATTAGTTTGTAGTTAAGTTGTAACATATAAATAATTTCAACTGTAGCCAATCTACTATTATTTTAGTTCTGTTGTAAGAAAGATTTACAGGAAATTATTTCGCCATGCGAAATATTATAGTAGAAAGTTGATACATCTAGCTGTATTAGATATGTACTTTTGCATTTAAATGTAAAATCTTGTATTTCATATTTAAAGTCAGATGTGTCTTTGACGAATGACGGTAAATCATGTATGGTTTAAGTACATATTCAAGATATTTTGATATCTTTTCAGTATACGACGTGTACGTATTTCATGCTTAACAGTTATCCGAGAAAAACATAAGAGTAAGAATAACATGAAAACCCTACTGACATCGTCTGTTCCTTGACTATACTAAATTACAATAAACAATATTTTGTTTACGCCAATGTATTTGACCTAAACAATTTTAATGTTCATGATAGTTCTGTTGTAGGAAAGATTTACAGGCCATTATTTCGTCACGCGAAATATTATAGTAGAAAGTTGATGTAACACGATGTATAAGATATGTTGACTTTTTTAAATTTAAATGTAAAATCTTTAATTTCATATTTAAAGTCACATGTGTCCTTGACGGTAAATCATGTATGGTTCAAGTACATTGTCAATATATTTTGAGATGTTTTCACTATACGACATGTACGTATTTAATGTTTAACATTATATTGTGTGTGTATTTTTTAGTTACCGTAGAAAAACGTAAGAGTAAGAGTAACATGAAAACCCTACTAACCTCTTCTGATGCTGGACTATCCAAAATTACAATAAACAATATTTTGTTAACGCCAATGTATTACAAAATAACAAAAAATAACATATTCTTAATGTTCATAAAATAACTGTTTTAATATTAAATGCAAATAAATTCTTGATGGAAGGATAGAAAAAAAACAATACGAGAATATAGATTTAGTTTTGTTTCTAAACACCGTATCGGCTTAAATAACAAAAAATAAGAAATTTTAATGTTCATAAAATAACTGTTTTTATATTAAATGCAAATAAATTCTTGATGGAAGGACAGAAAAATCAAAACGAGAATATAGTTTTATTTTTGTTTCAAAACACCGTATCGGCCTCCATCAGGATAAATATCAACAAACAACATACTAATCAATACGTAACGATAAAATGAAGAGAAAGTGTACAATTAAAATTCATATTTATTAAAAGTTTTGATTATAATTTAGTTACGCATTCATCAAGATATATGCCCAAACCCCGGAAGTCTGGCCAATTTTGACCCCTGCGTTATAATTTGAACAGCTACAAAATGTTTCACGCAATATTTCTAACCTTTATCCAATGTCAATTCAGAGGAGGAGAGGATGTTTTAACGTTTTACTATTTTATAATTAAAGCAAAACCTATGATACCCGGGGAGGGACAAATTTTGACACAAGAGGCAACATTTAAACAACTTTGGTAGCGGTCCACTAGACAATGTTTCATGTCAGATATCTTATCTCTAGCCTTTGTCGTTTTAGAAAAGAAAATTTTTTAAATGTTGTTACTATATGTAAATGATGAAAATCAATTAACCCGGGACAAGGCCAATTTCGACCCCATGTCTATAACTCTTGAGGCCTACTTTACTATTTTTAGGCCAAATGTATAATCTCTAGCCTTTTTCACTTCAGGGAAGTTGTTCTTACAATATACATATAAGGAACACCTATAAACCTTCGTGATGGGATCAATTTCTACACTTAGTCTAGAGGAAAAAATTGAATAATTTTGATAGAGGATATATTGATGATATCATACACTCTGTGCCTTGTATTTTCAGGCAAGATGAATCTTCAAGGTTTTATGATATTTAAATAACAAGAATCAATTACCCCAGGGGTCGGGCCAATTCGACCCCATGGATATGATTTAAACAATCTTTGTAGAGATAAAATTTTTAATGTTATATGCCAAATATCTAACCTCTAGCCTTTGCAATCTAAGAGAAGACGATTTGTAAATTTTCACTATATACATATAAGGAAAACCTGTAATAATCGGGACGGACCAATTTAGACATTAGAGGCGAAGTTTATAGAAATTTGGTGGAAGACCTATATCTATATACGCTAAATCATGTATGGGTTAAGTACATAGTCACGACATATACGTATTTAATGTTTAACATTCTATTGTGTTTATATATATTTAGTTACCATAAAAAATCGTAAAACTAATAGTAAAATGAAAACCCTACTTACCAGTTTTGTTCCTTTTCTATCCTAAATAGCAATAAACAATATTTTGTTAACGCCAATGTATTACAAAATAACAAAAAATATTAATGTTCATAAAATTATTATTTTTATATTAAATGCAAATAAATTCTTGATGGAAGGACAGGAAAAACAACACGAGAATATAGACTTATTTTTGTTTCTAAACACCGTATCGGCTTATGCCTCCATCAGGATAAATATCAAAACAAACAACATACTAATCAATACGTAACGTTAAAATGAAGAGAAAGTGTACAATTAAAATATGCATATTTATCAAAAGTTTTGATTATAATTTAGTTACGCATTCATCAAGATATATGCCCCAACCCCCGGAAGCCGTGTCAATTTTGACCCCGGCGTTATAATTTGAATAGCTACAAAATGTTTCACGCAAGTTTCTAACCTTTATCCAATGTCAATGCAGAGGAGGAGAGGATGTTTTAACTGTTTACTATTTTATAATTAAAGCAAAACCTATGATACCTGGGGAGGGGCAAATTTTGACACAAGAGGCAACATTTAAACAACTTTGGTAGCGGTCCACTAGACAATGTTTCATGTCAGATATCTTATCTCTAGCCCTTGTCGTTGTTTCTATATGTAAATGATGAAAATCAATGACCCGGGACATGGCCAATTTCGACCCCAGGTCTATAACTCTTGAGGCCTACTTAACTATTTTTTTTCACTATTTCTATGCCAAATTTTGAGTCTCTAGCCTTTTTCATTTCAGGGAAGTTGTTTTTACTATATACATATAAGAAAAAACTATAAACCTTCGTGATGGGATCAATTTCTACACAGGAAAAGATTTGAACAATTTTGAGAGAGGACATATTGATGAATCTACAAGGTTTTATGATATGTACATAATAAATGTCAATAACCCTAGGGGTCGGACCAATTTTAGCCCATGGATATGATTTAAACAATCTTTGTAAAGATCTATTACTCAATGTTTCATGCAATATATCTAACCTCTACAGTAGCCTTTGCAATCTAAGAGAAGACGATTTGTAAATGTTCTCTTTATACATATAAGGAAAACCTATAACAATCGGGACGGACCAATTTAGACATAAGGGGCAAAAATTGAAGAAATTTGGTGGAAGACCTATATATATATCATATCATATACAAAATACATGTATTAACGGTCTGGGTCTTAGCTTTCAATTAAAAAAAAATAAACCTGACACATTTTACACTCAAAATTTAATTTGTAATAAACGGTTCAGATTGGATTTATTTATACGTGCTGATTCATACACTTTCAATAACATTGTAAGAGTAATATGAAGAACTACTTACCTTTTCTTTTTCTGTGTAATGCTAAATAACAATAAACACTATTTTGTTCACGTTTATGTATTTGAAATAACAAAATTTTCCTTGTTTTTTTATCCTAAAATCAAGAATATATTTGCCGTTAAGATATATTTTAACGGCAAATATATTCTTGATTTGAGGATATAAAATCAGCAACAACACATGAATATAAAATAATTGTTCCTAGTTATCAACGTGTCGGTTTATTTCACTTTCTATATTATCCTAAATAACAAAAACAATATTTTGTAAAATAACAATATCATTGTATTGAAAAACTATATTCATTAACAAAGTCACGCTAAATCGTTGACAATCAATAAGTTAAAACAAAACATACTGAAAAGTGTGTTCATTCTTAGAATCGTGGAAACCTGTTATTATGTTACATTCATATTAATTATAGTTTTGTTATTCATAGTTTATTTTGCTGTTGTTTTACGTTAAATGTTGTGATATTGTGTGATATTCTACTAAATGTTTAATAATACTGACCTTACAGACGTGGTGACGTATCGCCGTATATAAAATAATGCACCCGACGGCAATAAGATTTCCAAACATCCAATTGTCGAGCCATAACAAAGTTGCAACCGGTTGGACCTTATTATATATCCCTGCCCAGTGCATAATGATTGTTGTCATAGCAGCCCCGCAAAGTGTAATCCTTGGTGTAAAGTTATCATCGAACAGAAGGGAAAATGTACTAATCACAACTAGAACAATTGGAGTACCTATAATTGTATTGTTTGCCGGACAATTCCTTTTGATGTTCAATATCGTGGTCAATGTAGAAAAATTACCACCTGAAATTTAAGTTAATCTTACTAAAATTTTAAGTGTTCTATATATTCTCACGCGTCTACTTTTAAGAATTATAAATGTCAGTTTCGATACTACCTTATATGAATTTTTAATACAAATAAGAAGAACAATTATAATTCTTTTAACTTAAAGAACAATATTTAATGAACAATTATAGTGGTACATTTCAGAGTAATCATGCAATATACAATACAAGAAAATACAGTAAAGAATATCTTAGTACTCCCTTTTAAATCCCATCTAATTTATTTAGGAAGATTTAATTTTGTAGTTGCGTAGAAAAGTGAAAATAACTTTATTCAATGAATGGCTTTGGAATGTTAACTAACGTACCTGAATCTATCACGTAATACGCGACTGTTTCAGATTTCTTAAGTAAGACACTTTTTGTACTCTGTACTTGATCCATCACAGGATTATCAGATAACCAAGAAAGTTGAACATCCTCTTGAGTAAATGCATCTAAAATTTTAAAACATACAATCATTATATGTATGTAAAGTGTCAAGCAATTAAAATCATGTGTTTTAATGAAAGTGACATTATGCTCATTTTTTCATTGTCAAGTTTAACTGATTTGACTATGTATTTTGAAAGATCGACTGTTATAATGTTGATTGGCCGATAATTGATACTGGTACATATTAGAATAAAATAAAAAAATCTGCCTCAAATATAAAAAAGCTATCCACTCTTAAATAGGACGTTACAAGTAAATTCCGATGGATGTTTCCTTTGGTCATGCGAGTTATTCATCGTTCATGCGGAATTAATTATTAAATTGAAAAAAATTATGGCAACATTTTTAACTTATTTCGTTTTCACCTGTTCACTCATAATATATTCTTACATGGGCATACTGTCACTTTTATAACTTTAAAGTGTTGAAAACGGGTTAAAACAAAGGCAGTTCTGATGAGAGATAGATATAGGTCGTACATGTAGCAACAACCCAGTTCTTGATAATGTGTATCTTTTCAAACAATAAAAACGTTTTCAGAATTGATATGCGATTTTCAAACTTTGATTTGTGTATCAATACAAAATATTTATAAGAAAGGCATACTTAAATGAAATAACTTCAAATATAAAGGTGATGCTTACACCTTTGAAATTGTATCCATATTCTCAATAGAAGTTATGCTCATTTTCAGATAAATTGCTTTGCATCTGGTCAGCCTTCATAACATTGCAAAAGAGAAACTTTATATTTCATGCAAATTTATTTACGAGGCAATAACGTGCAGTTTCTTTTGATAATTGACGCCTGAATCCAAAAAACACCTTTGGTGTCATGTTGTGGGAAAAAACCTTTTTTTTAAATTTTTATTCTTAATTATCTTTGGGGGGTCCTGTTTTTGATCGGGGATAGGTTTTTTTACTTCCAAAACCCAAATTCTCCTTTCAGCTGTAGGTTCAAAAATTTAGACAGTGGCTTTGGCTGTTTAAAGAGAGGGAGTATAAAAGGGTTTTAAAGACCACGGGTTTCTTCTCAAAGTATCTGACTGAAGAAAAATACTGTCACTAAAACTTAAACTGGATGGGCACCACATGCACTATACTGTGCTGGTGCGACATATATACACCAAAACATCGACATCAACAACAACAACAACAATAATACAAAATACGCACGCACGCGCGCACACGCCCATTACAATAACAATTTAAAAAACCTTACAGCTTTTGGAGAGTTATCAAGTTGTTGCTCATCATTACGGGTAATAATCGAGATTTCAAATGCATCCAAACAACATTCTTGTCGTAAACCTGTAATCAAAATTATAATTTGTCTTTTTTATATAACGACAGAAAAAAGCAGGCCACTTTCTTGACTATTTTCACCTTTATAAAAATAATAAAAGTATCTGTAGGTAACAAAGGTGCACGTACCTTGACAATATAAAAATATAAAAGTGCCATTTGAAACTTTTTATATCAGATTTTGTCACATTAGCGTAATGAATACGAGATTTGTTATTCCTGAAAGGTCATATTATTTCAGCTGCATTTGTTTAAGATTAAATTGACACATCAAATTAATAGACACAATGTGATTGCTTGTGTAAATAATTGCTAAGCCACCGCATCATACAGGACAATGCACATTTGACCTTTGATCAAACACTGTAGCTGTTTTATAGACATGTGCTCATGCCAAAGGTCTGAGTTCTTAAATTTTATTGTTCAGCACAGGATTTTTAAAAATATGTATTATATGAATGGCCTCCGGGTCAAAGACAATTTCTGCCACATCACAAAAATTTGAACAACTTTTGTAAAGGTTTACTTAATAATGTTTCACGCCAAATATCTAAACTGTAGCTCTTGTGGTTTTAATCTAAAATTATTTTCTCTATGTATAAGGAAAATATATGCTGAACCTGTTCCCTTGCATTGAAGCCGTGCCTATTTTAATTGCAGTGTTTTTATATGAAAATAAAAGATCCAAACTTTACAGTGTTGAAGAAAAGGTTTTGAATTTTTTACTCAATGCATATAAGGATAAACCATGATTTCCCAGGCCGAGGCTATAGGATGAACAATTTTTTGTAGATTTGTAGAAGTTTGCAAGATTATTCATGCTGAATATCTAAGAACTAAGTCTTGTAGTTAAAGAAAGATTAATCTTTAAGTAGTTATTGTATGTATACAAAGAAAACCCATGACACCCTGGGCGAGGCCAACTTTGACCCAAAAGCTGTATCTTGACCGATTTTTGAAGAGGTGTATTAGATAGTGTCGAATGCAAAAATATCTAAGCTCTAGTACTGAAAGTTATGAAGAAGAATTTTTTTTAAGAATGCCAATAATCATGTACATGAACCCCCGGGGCGGGCCATATTTGAAAATATGACTGTTATTTGAAAATTCTAAGTAGACGGCCAGCAGGTTATGTCTTGTGCAAAATATCTTTGCTCTGCGCCTTTTGGTTTTTAAACAGAAGAAGGAGTTTAAAAAATATTTCGGTTGCTATGAGAGGAACATTGTTGGAGGCCCTTCACCAAAGGAATAATGCTGAGAAAATTGGTTGCAATTGTATAATTTGCACGCACACACACACGCACGCACACACGCACCAACGCACACACACGCATACATACGCACGCACGCACAAACACACATACAAACACACACTCACACAGGTTGATCGCTTTATACCATCGCTTTGCAGATACTGCGGTGGCTTAACAAAAATATAAATCATTTCCATAATGAAAGTTTAGAATATTAAAACAAAAATTTCAAACTATTATTAAGTATCAACAGCTTCGCATTAATACCTGTGATTGAACACTACGTTTCCGGAGCTGTTAAAAACAATCAACTCGTTTGTACTACCAAAGCCAGTAATATAAGGTTCGCGGTTCTCCAAGATAAATATATCAGGGACCCATGGTTTTAATTTAGCTGAACCACGAATTATTAAAGAAGGATATGACGCTTTTGCTGAGTAATCTAAACGACTGTCAATCCAATGCATAATCACTGTAGTAAGGCCCGAAATTTCCTGTAATTTTTAAGACATAAAATGAATCATCCTGGTAGTGTTTTGAAAACTTATATAAGAAATTGATATTTTGCATAGTATGACAATACTCTTTGTCAAACTGAATTGTATGAGATTGCAATTTTCCGTCTTTTAAGGCATCGCCTTTTGGTTAATAACGATCCCGTTTTAATGCATAATATTTTACAAGTTTTATTTTTAAAAAGTTGATAAATTATGACTTACACTTTTATACTGTAAAATAGCATTGTTGTTATATATCAAAATCAAAATGCTATAGTTACAAATGCTTTTATTCCTTTATATTACTAAAATCAATACCCAAATAACCATCCACCTTATGTTTGGTTTGTAAAAAAGTGATTATTCTCCTTTTTTTAAAAATCCAAACAAAATGAGGCTACATGGCCAAATATATGCTCTGCACCTTGTTGGTTTGAAGAAAAAGAATTATTGGACATGAATACTTTAAGAAATCAATTAAAGAAAATCTGTCCCCAATAAGGTCAAACGGAGGTAGCGTTGTAAATAAACAACTGCAGGTACTCTAGACATCTTCATTGGTGTACGAAGTTTGCAACTTGTTGCTATTTGGTGAATTTACATTTTATAAGTAACGATGGTTGTTACTAATAAGACCGACATCATTCAAATTAATGAAATCATATAAACCTATGAATAAAAATAAATATATAAAATAAAGTTTGAAAAAACATAAATAAGCACTACATTTTGAAAATAAAGGAAGGTAACACACATATCTTTTGAAGGAATCATATCAATAAATTCATACATTGTTATTTCCCTTTGTACTATGTAGCTTTGAGATTTTTTAAATAAAGGCCTAGGTCAATGCCTATGTATTGGACGCACGGCGCGAAAAAACCGGCCTTAATAACTTTTTTTTCGAAATTTGGTTTTTATCTTATTTTTGTAGAGATTTTCTTTCTGAATAAGATAGTGAAAATTGTTTTCAAATCAAAAGATTATTTTTTGATATACCTATTTAAAGAACGTCCTATATTTGAACACTTTGTAAACAAATTACGTCGAAAAAAAAATTTGTTGTTTATTTATTGAAGAAATTTAAAGCGGCTATTTTATTTATCCTAAATCAACTCAATTATTTTGATCTAACTTTAAAAAAGTTAGTTTCAAAGTTTATTTCAGAACTCAATTTATGTACACAAATGACAGTATGAGCTATAACATATACGCATACATTACATTTAGAGGCATAGCATACACATGAAAATAATAATATTAATACAATTCATCTTAACAAAATGGAGAGACACGCACTTTTAAGAACATGATGAATAAATATGTAGAAATGTTATCTATTCTCAAATTTTGTGATTATTTCCTTAAATAAACAAAACATTATGTATTCATTACAATTAGTTATTATATTCATATTCATAATAGATTTAAGGTATTAGCATCCTAATGCATTACCTCCGCTTTAAAGAGTATTCAAATAGGCTAGAACTACTGTTAACTACATTGAAAATGAGGGCCATGGGTTCAATCCCCAGAAGGGTCAACTTTTTTTTCTTTCTATTTTTCTTTTAACAAACAGATTTATGTATCTCTCATGTCCCATTTGGAAAGAAAAAAAGTGTTGAATTTTGATTTTTTAATTTATATAGGTATTTATTGGCTAAACTATGCTAACTCTAGTAATAAATATGGTACCTGATATTTTCAAAGAATAATATAATCAAAACTAGACGGTAAAAGTATTTCATATTTTACAAGATCAACCATTATACTTTTTTTTTTTTAAAAATTAGGGAAACTTTGAAAACAGGCGCTCATTTGGGTAAATTTTAAGAATTTTTTGAATAAGGCTCGCTAAGTAGAAAAATGGTCAGACACGTGGTAAAAATAGTTTTATACAGATTTCATGAATTTTAAGTAGAAACCATAATTTTGCTTATGTGGATTGTTAGCTGAATGATATTATTTGTTTCTTACCAAAAATGTATGGGAAAACATTTTCATTAGAATGTTATTGCAGATTATTTAAAGGTTCCTCATTTCTAAAAAAGGGCCCTCATAACATCCTCACAGCGTACACTCCATCGTCCACTGTGACTTCCGCTTGCGAGCGAGCTGTACACGGAAAACGCCACCGTAGAGAGAAAAATAGGTACAATATTTCAATACAGAATAATCAGAAAAGAAATTCTACTTTTGTAAGTAAGAGTTAGATTAAATAAACCTTATCCAGCCTATATCCTGCAGTAAAATATCTTTTTCCGTTAACAAATGCGATTTCTCACCACAATTTTCCAGAAATGCCTTTTTTGTTGACACCAAACAACGATTTTAAAGCTTACCAAGTAATATACGACCAAATCCACTTAATGCTTTGAAGATCTACTATTTTAGCACCAAATAAAAAAGAAATACCCGTTTTGAACATATCGGTTAAGAAAATATTGACAATAAACTGGCACTGGTGAAGTTTAATCATTGTACGGTTGCTTGCTAAATCTGAAAAACAATTCGTCCAGTTGCTTGCGAGGTCACTGTACTGTTGCTTGCGAGCTTACTGGCATTATATAACGTCTAAATAGTTTGAAAATTAACTTCTCAGCAATGTTTTAACACTTAAAATGTATTACTTTATTGAATTATGACGTATTCAAGTTTCAGCATGTAATTTTTAACTGACGGCAGGTTTGAACTATTTTGCCCTGATAACGGCGTAAGTCTACTTTGAACATTAATTTTCTTTACCCTATGTTAAAATAGTTGCAGAGATGGTTAATTATTTTGATTTTTCAAAGAGCATATAAAACATATAGCATCTCTTTACCGGCGTATATGTTACTGATCTAAATAAATATGTTACTTGTTATTATTATCACAATTATTTTAGACATTTAAATTTTACACAGCAGAAAGTTCATCTCTGCATCGTGTATACATGAACAGTTATTGTTATATTTTTTATTTTATTTTGTTATTACTGAGCATGCAGGTACACTCAACATTATTTTAATACTTTTCACATCTGATTTTCTGTGATTCATTTACTTATTCATTTTACCATTTTCTAATGTCTTTAATAATTCTAAATAATAATAAACTATTTTGATAATGTAAGCATGACTTTTTTATTTTCAGCAAGACTCATTTTGTAGTAATATGTAAAACTTAAGTTGTAACATGACACATTGGTTTATCTTTGTCGTGTTGTCCCAAACTCCGCGCACCGGTTACGCTACGGCCAATCCTGTAAGGGGAGATCACTGCGTAGGAGATTGGTGTTGTCCATTATCAAAATTTTTATTCCTTTTGAAATGTCCATATGCCTTAAGATATGAACAGCTTTCAAGCCCCAATGAAATTGTCTATACATGTGAAAGAAACGGTCTACGGTCTAAGACATCTGGTTGAATTGCGACAAATGAATTTCTAGAGCATTATAGAACTAACAAATGTCAAAGCCTTATAAAATGCTCATATAATCAATAGAATAAACTGTAAACATTTGTTTGGAAAAATTATAGCTAAAACTATGAGCTAGTCAGGTTTCAACCGAAGTCTGGATAAAACAACACCTACTATCTAAGTATCTAACTCATTGAGGTCAAAATAATATTCTTGTATCCATATCATTTTCAGAACTATCGTAGTTAAGTTAGACTTCAAAAAGTATACAGTGAAAGCATATTCATGACACATTTTCTGCTTGTAGGAGAAAGTCCTTTGCATCACTTCGTTCAATAAACGCCGTATGTTTCATCTTTAAACACTTATTAAAATATTGTGAGTACACAGTTTGCCAGTAGGTCATTATTAGATGTCCGACAAACCACCGTATCTGTTTTCTGCTGTTATCTTATTTTCATTTAATCTATGATATTCTCGTACAGGCTGAACTCCTCGTCCTGAAAATGCCGGTTGTGATATTTCCCCGCTTTTTCTTTTAGCACGTTTACGCTTCGCTCTGAATGGATGGTCAAATATATGGTTGCTACAATAGAAAAAGCAAAACAAAAGCAGTACTCTATAGGCATACAGAGCCAAACATAATAAAAATCATTAACTTTATTTCTTTTTATTTTACATTCTAAAGTAGTAATCAGTCAAATCGCTACCTTGCTTGAAATAGGTGCTTGGTATAATTGTTTAAATATTTCTTCCATCAAAAAATTATTAGAAGTATTTTTGTACTGTGATACATACCGTGGGCAAATTCTGGAAACGTACCCTGGTGTCATATAACATGTCTGATCAAAACAGACTTTCTTGGTTTTCTCCCCAAGGAATTATAAACTCTTTTTTAAATTTCAATTCTTTGGGAATGATATTGATTTTTTTTGAGTATAACTTGACACTTTGCCCCTCTTTGATAATAATTCTTATCTTCAGGTTCTCGTCAGGATGTCTTATAATCACATGATCTATTAATTCACAGAACTGTTTACATTCTAAATCACAATAGATGCACATATATGTCTCCATGATGAGCATTAACTACAAAAAAGAGAAGTTACAATAACATTAAATATACGTCGAACATCATGTCATGTAAATATGTTAATTGCAGTTAAATTAAATCACTTAAAGTTACATTAAATAAATTTCATAATATCAGAAATAGCGACATTTCATTAATAATTGGGTTTTATATCGACTCCAGATCTTATTTTGGTGTCCAGACAACCAAAATGAGTTTTATAAGCATAAAAAATGGACAACCTCATTGTGGTGAAATAGGAAGTACAATATCTATTTGCATGAGAAACTCCGCGTTCAGATCATCCGTACATCAATATTAAATCAACAAACATGACTATAAGTAGCAGTCCTAATTTAACGGTATATTTCCGCATTGTAACGGATGTTTTCATACAAATTTAATCTTTTTTATGAGATGATTACTTTTTACTGAACCTCAGGCCTAGTGCACCGTGAAGTTAAACGGTTAAAATGTGTTTGCACAAGAAAATCTCATATTTGTTGTGTTCCGGATAGCAACTATAACACTGTGACGTAGCGCATACACAAGCTGATTATAATCTTCATTTGCATGTTAAAATTCGTATACGAACTTTAGTGTTACCGTGGGGTTTTCCGTTTAAAATCCTAATTTGTGAACAATATTTTTTGAGATTTACAACAAGACTGTTAAAAAGGTTAATGAATCTGTAGAATGCTTGGTTTTTAGGCCGACGGCAAAAATATTTTTACATATTTATTTAATGTAACTTTAAAGTATATATTAGTATTGCAATTTACCATCACAAAGTTTGACATACATTAGTTATTAAACCCACATTTATTTTTATTTTGGTTTAAATGCATGGCTAATGCCATTGTTACCTTTAAAATGGGCCAACTGTTCAAGAATTGTGTTTTTAATTGTAAAAAAAATTTGTAGCTTGCTCCCAGGCAACCGTACAGTTTTTTTTCAAGTCCTCATAAGCACGTACAGAGAGGTAGCAAGCAACCGTACAGTGAGGGAACATCAACAGTTGCTAATTCATTGTCAATATCTTCGCAACCAAGACGTTTACAAATAACATTTTTTAATTTTCTGGTGCTTAGAACATAATTCTCGATAGCATCAAAAAGATTTGTTCAAATATTAGGTTTAAAGCTTTGAAATCGTCGTTTGATGCAAACAATTTTTTTTTTTCGGGAAATCTGAGTGAGAAACCGCATTTTGTCTGAAATATATGTTTACACATTAGAATATTGATTATGAATAATTTAGTTTATGTCAGTACCACACATATAAGTAAAATAAACCAATGATTTATTTATTTTGACATGTTTTACCTATTTTTCAGCCTTGTTCTGCGTTTTACGGTGTATATTTCGCTCGCAAGCGGAAGTCACTGTGGACGATGTAGTGTACGCTGTGATCCTAGCTTGAGCTCAGAAAGTGGCCATAACTTGATTTCCGTACGGTAAACTTTGTTAAAATTTTGCATACAGGTGTACTTTAAGGTATACATATGACATATGATGTCAATTTTTTAGTTTCTGATAGTGCCCATTAGGGTCCTAATACCTTAATAATTTATATATTTGGATGTTACATAATTTCGATCTAACATTCTTTTTCTTAGTACAGATTATTCATTGCATTCAAAGAAATAGCGGAATTTATCTCCAATACTTCCGGAGCTGTTACAAATTGTGCATTTACGTAAATTTAAATATATACCATTCCAACTTTCGGTTTCTACAGGAAGTCTTCTGTTTCTTGTTCTAAACTTAATTACATATCTGAATATGTTTTTGATGTGTTTATTAAATATGGTCCAAATTGGAATTTTTCTTTCAATGATTTATATTTTTTAAATTTACTCGATTCGTTTACTGTACAATACCAGTCGTTTAGAAATAAATCTGACAATTTTTGCTTCACATAAGCAACTAACCACTTATCATTAGGAAACATCTGATAGGTCCATACTATGGGGTTTCCACATTTGATAAACTACCACGTTTTTTTTATTCTTTACAACAGGACAGTATAGAAAATTGTAAAACAATTCAATAATGCCGTAATCGACATAGAAACAAGTAGTTTGAAATATGTATAAGCACTAAACTGTTATAACAGATCAGTGATAATAAAAATATCAAACGCTCGCACGCTTCGCACCAAATATCTATTAGGCTCTGCTGACACCCCCAGGCGCAATAACTCTTGCAAGGAGACCTGAACTCAACCGAAATCCTTTTTCTTTCGAGACTTTAATCAGCTGTTTCTCGCTTTCGGGTGTTATTCTGGCCATCACCGAAACAGGTGTGTCTGACTGGAACCAAATGTGCTGGAATTTTCTATAAAAGATACGATAAATATCCGTAATGAAAACTGTCATAATATTCTTCTATAAATCAACAAAATCAAATATTATTCAGTGCACATTTAAAAATATTTTAGTTAAAAGAAAGGAACAATTTAGACAGCTCCGTAAACATGGTCACGTGACTGATTTTCACATACTGTGACTGTCAGTTGGTAAAAAATAAAAAAAATTAATACCATCTCATCATATTGATTTAATTTAATTTAAATATAGAAAGAATGATATACAATTTATCTCATGTTAAAATGTTTTACTTGATTGCCTTAAATATACTCATTAAGGACCATGAATACGCTCTAATTATACAGTACGGACTTTACTAGTAAACGATTTATAGAAACAATGCAACTTTACATTTACAGGTATCAGATATTTTCTCTCTTTATGGTACAGCAACTCCGAGTTTAAAGTTTCATTTGAATAAGATAAACATAGTTTACCTTATACTTGAAAAATATCTAGGAAGGGTTTCCATTGCTGCCATGACCACTGAGGGTAACATACAGCCATGCTTTTTGTATACGATTTCTCTGTAACATCGGCTAGCTGTTGTAGTGTTTTTATATCATGCCTATGGAATTAAATCTTTAGATTGCAAATCTAATATCAGCTTAACACAGCCCATGTCCTAAAAGATTTTTTTTAAATATGGAAAAGAGTAAAAAGAAAAATAATATATGTGCTTTCAGTGTATATATGTGCTTTTAAACAGTCTGAGCTAACAAACAAAACTACAGTGTTAATGATACATATTTTGTCATTGGGAAAATCAGATAAGATTGTTAAAATCAGATTGCCGAGTACCTAGAAGTAAGTAAGAAAAATAAGTAATAAAGGTTTCTTGAATCAGTACCTGGTACTTGCATACGATACGATGTCATCCAGTCTTACTCCGAGTATCTGAATTTTACGCAGTGTTAAAATCTGGCGAAAAAAAAGGCAAGCAGAGTGAAGGGACAAACTTTTCTTCATTGTCACGCAACACTTTGCCGTATACACTCATTACCTATGAAATAACAAAAAAAAAAGAGACGCATAGTTAAACATAAATTAAAGTGACATTATGCCCATTCAAGTATTAATGGTGGATGAGAAGGTCAAAGTCAAAACAACTTGAGATTTTTACAAAAAAAAATTAATTTTATAATAAAGATAATAGTCCATATGAATAATCAATAACCCATATAAATTCTATAGGTATCCTTCGGAATATATCGTTAGTGTTCCGTTGATAAAAAGAGGGGTGCAAACCTTTTATATTTCAGGCTATCGTTGGCAAGTTTAATTTTATAATCAATAATTGTTCAATGGCCATGAAAATAGTCAATCTTTTAAAATATATAGTCAATTGAACTCAACCAGACAGATAGAGCGTAATGTGAGACTTGAAGATAAAGGTAAAAACAGCGTATTTGAATATTTTTTAAGCAAGATTGTTATGATAACGGTAAAAAAATCATGACATCACCTGAATAGGTAACAAATGGTACTAGTTAATTCTTTTAAATTCTTTAGTGTAGGGAAACACAAGCAAAGTTTTCATTTCTACGATTTGAAATGTTATTACAATATTCTATAAATGTCCTCGAAATGAATACACTAAGCAGTCAGAGGAACAGAACTTTTCTTTTTATAAATTGAAATCAACTTGTAAAGGTACCGGCAGTTGTTATCGTTGTCTTGTATTTTGATTCAACAAGAACAACATACACATAATCGGGCAAAGATGATATAAATTGTTATGATGCATGAGATATATATACATGTATCTTGTCAACTTAATTTAATACAATGTATGAAGTTTACCTCTCCGAAAGTTTTGCTATACAGTAGTAATTCATCTAGCATTATGTTTAAAGTTGAATATCCTTTTGTTTTGAAAATTATTTTCAATGATGATATACAATTGTGTGTATACCTTCTCCACTTTCACATGTTATTGCATGTATATGCTTTACACTGTCTTGTCATTATGTGTATGTTTATCCTCATGGACCATTTAATCCAATATTGAAATAAACTTAACTTATAAAGAATGAAATGGTTGTTTCTAAACTTGGCCCACGTTGGTCAGGTTATTTCATTTAGACTTCACAAAAGCTGTTACAGAGAACTATGTAAACGTTAAAGTACCTGTCAAATGAAAGACTTAACAATATCCAGAATACCTGAAATTGTAATTTCCACGGGGTTTTCCAGTTTAAAACTACTCGGTGACTCTGACGGCGTCTTAATTTCGTTCAATATATAAAAATATTATTACGCTTCAAGCCCAAAATGTATAGTGTTTATACAAAAATTCATGCTAGGGCTTTAAAGAATGGCATTTTAGCATGCTCTGAGTAAATAACATCAATTTACTATTTTTGCCATTCATTTGTCCTTAGTATCCATTTAATTCTATAAAAATATACTTTATAGATACTTACTTCAAACTCCTCCTCCATCTTAAATTCCGACCTAGGTTAACTTTAAAACTTCAATAACACACGATAATTTAAGCATTTCCATGTTAACATTGAAACAAAAAGAGTGACGTCATTTAAATCGCTGCAATGCATTTTTATTGGCGTGTCATAAAGACCGGTTTTCTCGCGTCGTGCGTCAATTATATATATACTACTTTTTGGAAAATAAATGAAGGTAACATACATATTTATTGGAAGGAACCATATCAATAAATTCATTCATTGTTATCAAAGGGGATATATATGTAATACTTTAATTAGTTTAAGTATAAATGTATAGCACAGTTCACACAATTTAAAAGTACTTACCGAAGCATGTTCATTTTCCATAATTGTATCATTTATAATAAGCTGAATTTTCACGTTAGTTGGCTTGCCTTGTAAGTAAACAAAATATTAATTAAGATTAGATGGCAGACAACAACACATTATATAAGTTGTATTTCTTGCAAAACACGTGCATTTAGATGTACGTTTAAGTAACACAGGTCACTTGATGAAACTAATTTATAAATTCAATCATGCATAAATCAGATATTTTTTTTTTGAATAAAATAGCACTATCATCAATTTTATTACCCCTATCAATAATTAATTAATTAATTGCAATTAATTATGAATGTCTTAATAGTAGAGATTTATTGAAATCTATAAAATTCTTACTGGATATGTCTAATGTCAATAAAAGAATTAATAAAATATTAATTGGTAGCTGTCCTCCTTACTAAGATCAAGTAATGTTGGTCTTTTCTTAAAACAACTGATATTTTTTATAGCACTATATTACTGTGACCGCCGAAAATGTTTAATATTTAAAACAAAACATACATACTTTGTTTAAAGTTAACACATGTTTATTTCTTATTTAAAAAGGGACTGTGCAGGAATCACCAATATGTTCAAATTTGAGCATATCTTTAATTTATAAAGTTTTATATCAAAATAAATGTATTAGAAAGCATGTCAGTACGTATGCTTTTTGTTATTTGAGAATATTGATTATTGCTACACAATTCCTTTGTAAATGTCACAATAACATGTGTTCAGTACACACAAAGGATATGTAAAATGCTTTGAACTCTACACGCTACAGGTAGACACAGTGAGAATAGTGTTATTTAAAAATGGCATTTTAGAAATGGCTAACTTTGGTTGACTTTAAAGGGATATTCAGGCAAAATAATAACAAAAATATTAAAATGATCTTATGTACTCAAATCACGCTAAAATGACTTTTCTTGAAGTTTCAGTATGAATTTCTGTTTAAATTCTATATATTTTAGGTTTGAAACGTAAATATATCTATATACGTTGAACAAAATTAGGACGCAAACAGAATCACCAACTAGTTTTTAAACAAGTCAGTGACTTAAACAAACCCTTGAAGTTACAACAACAGATATTGTGGATATTGTATGATTGAAACAAACCTAAGTCATTCATTTGACATGTTCTTTAACGTTTCCAAAGTTCACATTGACAACTATTGTGAAATGCTAGCGCTCTAACCTGACCCACGCGGGTCAAGTTAGGAAACCACCATTTTATTCTTTATATGCAGAAAAGTGTTGTTCCTTTTACTGTCTAAAGTATTCATTTTGAGGGCATGTACAGAAAAATGAACGAAAAATTCAAAACTTAGAAATGACAATTTTGCCTGTATCTCCCTTTAAATAAGGAATGCAGTTCCCACTACACAATTTGTGCAATTAAACATAATCAGTAAGACTTTGATAGATTACGATATATGTCTGCAATGAAAATATTTTACTAAAAGATGAGCCAAGTAAATCTTTAAAACAAAAAAAAAATCGTTTATTTAACAAACATTTCTTAGAACTGAAAAATAAAATGCTTGAAATAATTTCTAATGTGACAATATTTCATGAAAATATATGGTAACATCATATTTTTGTCACAGACATCATATGAGGATTTTTTTTCCAGAAAATAATAAGGGGCTACATTGGAAATTACTACAAAAACCAAATTCTTCAAAAATGCTTGTTTAAAATATAAAAGAAGTACATTGCATTTAAAACGAACGTATTGTTACAATTGCTATACGATTAAAACCCTATTTTACATTTTGTTCTGGAACATTTTATCTCCTCACACAGTATTCATTTGTCTTAAATAAAAGCGGCATTCTATGGAACATTTTCCCCGAAAATCGACCATAAAATAATTGAAATAAAACAACTGTAAAATTGTTCTATTTTCTAAGATGTCTTGAATATTCTTTTACATCAAAAACAAGAATTTTGAAAAATATGTGAAAAGACTAATTAAATAAATCCACATTTGATCTTGTTAGGCCTGTATCTGATTTGACCGAACGCAAGTATATGGGCGAATTTGGATCTTGAATAGCATTTAATGGACCTTGAATAGCATTTTAGACCGCATTTCAGGTACAAGCTAAAAGCTACTAGTAATACTAGAGATGTGTGAAGTTGGCGGTCCAGCGGCCTGGCGGCGTAAAGTTGGCGACCCAGCGGCCTGGCAGCGTAAAGTTGGCGGCCCAGCGGCCTGGCGGCCAAAAATTTAATATTGTAGAAAAGTTATTTTAACAATTAAACGACATTTAATGAAGTTTTAAAGATTATTATTGTTATTTAAAGGATATTTCAAAAGAAAAATCACTTTCAGAGAACTTTTTTATTTTGTCATGTTTGTGGCCAGCGGCCAAAAATTTTAATGTTTTAGAAACATTATCTTAACAATAAAACGGCGGCCTGGTGGCAAAAAATTTAAATGTTGTAGAAATGTTATCTTAACAATAAAACGGCATTTAATGAAGTTAAAAAGATAATTATTGCTATTTAAAGGATATATCAAAAGAAAAATCACTTTCAGAGAACTTTTTATTTTGTCATTTTTGTGAAGTTGGCGGCCCAGCGGCCTGGCGGCCATAAAATTTAATGTGTTTGAAATGTTATTGTAACAATAAAACGTCATTTAAAGAAGTTTAAAAGATAATTATTGTTATTTAAAGGATATTTCAAAAGAAAAAATCACTTTCAGAGAACTTTTTATTTTGTAATTTTTTTAAAGTTTTCGGCGCCAAAAAATTTAATGTTTAAGAAACGTTATTTTAATAACAATGAAACGGCATTAAATGAAGTTTTAAAGATAATTATTGTTATTTAAAGGATATATCAAAAGAAAAAAATCACTTTCAGAGAACTTTTTTATTATGTCATTTTTGTGAAGTTGGCGGCCCAGCGGCCTGGTGGCCAAAAAGTTAATGTTGTAGGAATGTTATTTTAACAATGAAACGGCATTTCATGAAGTTTTAAAGATAATTATTGTTATTTAAAGGATATATCAAAAGAAAAAATCACTTGCAGATAACTTTTTTTATTTTGTCATTTTTGTGAAGATGGCGGCCCAACGGCCTGGGGTCAAAATTTTAATGTTGAAGGAATGTTATTTTAACAATAAAACGTCATTTAATGAAGTGTTTAAGATAATTATTGTTATTTCAAGGATATTTAAAAAAAATCACTTTCAGAGAACTTTTTTATTTTGTTATTTTTGTGAAGTTGGTGGCCCAGCTGCCTGGCGGCCTGGCGGTCAAAAAATTTAATGTGGTAGAAATATCATTTCAACAATAAAACGTCATTTTATGAAGTTTTAAAGATAATTATTGTTATCTAAAGCATATTTTAAAAGAAAAAATCACTTTCAGAGAACTTTTTTATTTCGTCATTTTTGTGAAGTTGGCGGCCCAGCGGCCAAAATTTTTAATGTTTTAAAAACATTATCTTAACAATAAAACGGCATTTAATCACGTTTAAAAGATAATTATTGTTATTTAAAGGATAAATCAAAAGAAAATATTACTTCAGAGAACTTTTTTATTTTGTCATTTTTGTGAAGTTTGCGGCCTGGCGTCCTGGCGGCCAAAATTTTTAATGTTGTAGAAATGTAGTTTAATAATAAAACGGCATTTAATGAAGTTTAAAAGATCATTATTGTTATTTAAAGTATATATCAAAAGAAAAAATCACTTTCAGAGAACTTTTTTATTTTGTCATTTTGTGAAGTTGGCGGCCCAGCGGCCTGGCGGCCAAAAATTGTAATGTTGTAGGAATGTTATTTTAACAATGAAACGGCATTTCATAAAGTTTAAAGATAATTATTGCTATTTAAAGTATATATCAAAAGAAAAAATCACTTACAGGGAACTTTTTTATTTTGTCATTTTTGTGAAGTTGGCGGCCCAGCGGCCTGGCGGCCAAAAATTTTAATGTTGTAGGAATGTTATTTTAACAATAAAACGGCATCTAATGAAGTTTAAAATATAATTATAGTTATTTAAAAGATATATCAAAAGAAAAAATGACTTTCAGAGAACTTTTTTATTTTGTCATTTTTGTGAAGTTGACGGCCCAGCGGCCTGGCGGCCAAAACTTTTAATGTTGTAGGAAGTTTATTTTTACAATAAAACGGCATCTCATGAAGACTTTTTAGTTTAAACTATAATTATTGTTATTTAATGGATATATCAAAGGAAAAAATCACTTTCAGAGAACTTTTTTATTTTGTCGTTTTTGTGAAGTTGGCGGCCCAGCGACCTGGCGGTCAAACTTTTTAATGTTATAGGAATGTTATTTTTACAATAAAATGGCATTTAATGAAGTTTAAAAGATAATTATTGTTATTTAAAGGATAAATCAAAAGAAAAAATCACTTTCAGTGAACTTATTTATTTTGTCATTTTTGTGAAGTTGGGGGCCTGGCGGCCCAGCGGCCTGACGCCCAAACATTTTAATGTAGTAGAGATGTTATTTTAACAATAAAACGGCATTTAATGAAGTTTTAAAGACAATTCTTGTTATTATAAGGATAAATAAAAAGAAGAAAAAAAAAACAACACTTTTTCTTTATTTTATAATTTTTGTGAAGTTGGTGACCTTTTTAAATTTCTCAGTTATTGAAATAATATAAAAAATGTTATTGACTGAAGTTTTTGTTATTTAAAAGATATATAACAAAGGATCACTGAGAGATCTTTTATCATTTTGCGTAAACTTGTTTTATGTATGGAACGCCTGTGATTCAGGCGTTGATATTTTTTGCTTATTCATTACATACAGACGCGTTATTTCATACTTGTTCGTGGTTTTGATAATATCGATCAGCCGAGCAGAAGCACATTAAAATGACAGAATGGAACGCAGGCTAATGTATGGTGTACAATTTATGTAACAAATATGAATGGTCCTTTATGAAGTTTTAAAACATTTTTTTTCGGGTCCCATCCAATTTATTCTCCCCGTCCCAACCATGAGTATAAGTCAGGTAATCATCCTTTACTGACTTTACAAAATAACTTTTGCTTACACATTTATTAACAATAACTTATGAT